GGAGGGGCCCAGGGACACTCAGGGGCAGGCGCACCCCAGCCTCTGGGACATGGGAAGCAGGGCTGCTGGGCTCCTGTCTCGGGTGCAAGGAGGGTCTGCACCTCCCAGGGTTCATAATTTCTTGGTGCAATATGCATCTGTAGGACCAGTAAGACTTTTTTTCCCAAAAAGATACAATTTTAAGTGTCTTTTTAAAAATTGTTTTAGTGCTTAAAGTATTACAAAGAGTATTACATATGTCTCCTTTTTTCCCCCGCCCTTGACAATCCCCTGTCAAGGGCGATGATATAACAATATTAACTTTGTAGTGTGAACCTAAAGCCAGGACATCAGCGGGCGCCTCTCCCGCAGGACTTTGAGACCAACAAGGAGCTCAAGAACAAGGTGGTTGGCTTCCTGGAGGAGGTGACGCGCAACCCGGAGCTGCTGACCCAGGAGCGGAAGGCGGCCGCCAACATCGTGCGGTGGGGCCTGGGGCTGGACGAGCTGGGCTGGGCTGGGGTGCCGGCCCCTGACCCACAGGGGTGGCCAGCAGCCGGGGGCGGTCAGCCCTGGAGCAGCCAGGCAGGAGAGCCTGCAGGGCGTCTGTGCAGGGGCTGCCCCGAGGCCAGGTGGGTGCAGACAGCTCATCTCCGCGTCTGGCCCCCAGGACTCTGACGCAGGAGGACCCCGGGGACAACCAGATCACGCTGGAGGAGGTCACGCAGCTGGTAAGCCGGGCCTGCCTGCCCCCGCCCGCTGCCCCCCAGGTCCCCTGAGCAAGCACAGCCACCCTGCCCAGATCTGCCCATCCCCCGGGCAGCTCGGGGGCTCCTCTGGAACCCACCCTCACCCCTGGGGCCGGAAGGGGGTGGCACAGACACGGCTCCTCGCAGACTGACCCTGGGAGAAGGGGTCGCCCTGCACCTCCCTGCAGGGAGCGGCCGGCCTGGGCCCCTGCCCCCCGATGGGGTCCCGCTGGACTGTGCACCCCTCAAGGGCAACAGCCTGAGACTCTTCTGGACCAAGTGCCCCTGAGCTGCCGGGCCCTGGGAGCCCGTGTGCGGCATGTCCTGTTTGCAGGGGGCCCGGTGGCCTCAGGGCGCCTTCTTGCTGTGAGGGCTCCCCCAAGCCCTGCAAAGGGGGAGGGAGGCTGTACCCCCACCCCGCCCCCCGCCTCTGCTCCCAGGCTCACCCTCTTTCCTAGGCCCCAGCAAAGGGAGCAGAGGGAGCCCTGGCCGGTGTCGCTCAGTGGATAGAGCGTCGGCCTGCGGACTGAAGGGTCCTGGGTTCAATTCCGGTCAGGGCACAGGCCTGGGTTGCAGGCTTCATCCCCAGTGGGGGGTGTGCAGGAGGCAGCCGGTCCATGATTCTCTCTCATCGCTGATGTTTCTCTCTCCCTCTCCCTCCTTCTCTGAAGTTAATAAAGATATCCTATATTTTTAAAAAATTGTGTGAGAATTTTACAGTAAGTCAAACAACTTTGTTACTTTGTTAGTTTTTTTCATTAGAAAATATGAAATATTTAATTTAAAACAGGTTTTAGGTTACACTACTTAAGGCCATTGAAATGTTTTTATATTTATATGCATATTGTGTGAGTTTGTGCATATACGTGCTTACCAATTTGAAAGAGTATAATTGCATTCCACATTAAACAGCATGTAGATTAACTTTATATCACATTTCAGTGTGTTTTACCTGAAACAATGATTTCTGGAGTTCCTGAAGTGTTACTGTGTGTGTTATATTTATCTTAACCTAGGAGAAAGGCTAGGGAGATGATAGAGGGAAACAACGGACAAAAAATATGAATATTTTGCATGGTCAATATTTGAATTGTAGAGTTAGGAAG